GAAGTCTTATGCAGAGAAGAGTTCCTGACATTCAGAGGTACTGATATATCAACTCCTAGATGCCAGTACGGCACATAAGAACCCGAATACAATGGCGCTGTATTTCTGATGAAAACAGATCGAGTAATTCTTTATCAACTGCCGATGATCGGAAGCGAAATTGGTTCTCTTGATAAAGCAGAACCAGAGCTGTTGATAAACAAGAAGCAACGAATTTGCAGTAAACGAAATCTGGTTATTTTTTCATCCGAGCGTCCAAATGTTTGAACAGTAAATACAGCAAAGCTTTTGTTTTGTCGCTGCTTTGGCATATATCTGATATCAGTCAGGACCGCCAATCCCCCAAGGTGAAATCACCCAGCAAGACTAGAAATAGAGTACAATTCTGTACATACGATGCAAAGCACAAGATATTTGGGAAATGCGCCGAAAAACGACGCTTCGATAAGTGTCGTGCAGATTTTCAGGATCAGTGTCAACACCTGATATCACAAGATGAGGTACTGCCTTCTTTTTCGGAATATCCAAGGAAAATTTCATGTCTGCGATGTAAAATTAGATTTTTTCGTTTATCAAAAAACAAACGTATAGTCATCTATTCCAGTATGACGATGCAGAGAATTTCTTACAAATTAACTGCCAACTTGTGCATTTGGTGGTGAAACAAACACGGAGTGCCCGCAAATCTTTACGACTTTGTTGCACAAGCACGTCATCGATTTCACGCAGAACCCTCGGCATTATATCTAGAATATTCAACTGGAATTTGGTCCACGGGTTCCCCTTTGTAGTGATCTTTAGTTAATAATTAGGCAAATTAAGGCAAACTGCATCAAACAGTTACTAGCCATAAGGTACAGCATGAAGTTACATGACCGTAGGTCTCACAACCTTAGCATGCCCACACCAGACAACCATGTTTGCCAAGTACTTCGAAAGTAATAGATTTGTCACCCGTTTTTTAGTTAATTGCATCGAGGCATAACGGACTGAATTTGCTGCTTAAAGAAATTAGCAATTACACTTTCGATTATCGCCTATGCCTTCAGGCTGAGGAGACAGCGGCGTTAGATATGTCTCTAACGTACCCAATCCTGTGCCAGCGTAAGAACTTCGGCATAAGATAACCATAGCATGGATTAAAATCCTTCGACATACTTGACCCATGCTACTTTTGGTCGTTCCTTGAGTCATCGGCCGGTCGGATAAGCAATAGTAGTTGTTTCCGCCTTCCTTTCAGAAAGCATTCGCAATACATGCCCAAACCATCGCAGTTTTAACTTTTCAATCTGGAAAATACGGACATATACCAAGGCTCTCTCGAATATCTGTGCTCCGGACAATGTCGAACAGCATGAACCCAGCGACTGATCGCAGACAGCCCATTTCAGTCACTCGTATCCGAGATCGAAGCTTTTTAGTCATAGACCACGACTTATGACTGTAAATGAGCAATGGGATGACGGACGACTTTAACAAAGACAGCAGTCTTTAGACTCACCTCTACTTTAGCCAAACGGTTAGGATCAGTTCGCGCAAAACGCCGCTGACGGTTCAAGCTCACTGGTACGTCTCATCCTTCCACTTTCCATCAGCAAGCAAATTAGCAGTTTGCAACAAAACTTGGGTCCCTCTGGAACTGGAACCCTGTACCTTTAAAGCACAATAGAAACTCTTTAAAACTGCTTATCAATGGCACTATCCGAAAACCATTCTGCTTCGTCGGGATGCACAAAAATTCTGAGCATCTTACTTGTCGTTCTAAAACCAAAACGGAGAAATAATTTTGTCGACTACACATACAGGGGACTTTAGCAGAGAACAGTAATCCCCGTGACTGAGAATTTGGACTAGTATACTCTGGGTCGAATGGAAGCCCGCCTTGCTCGGAGCTACCGCTAGTCAGCCAGATATCAGCAATGTTATACCGACAGTCAGCTAACCTACCAATCACCGACTTGATAATCACCGACTTGACTTGATAATCGCAACGTCGATGGCATTGTCCCGTGTCCAATTTACCGTTGAAGTAACGAACGGCGAGCAACGATCCTGGCACTACATGCCACGAAAGGGTGAAAGCCCGCGGACAGCACTTTTTAACCTTAACATAACACAACGTGTGAGGACACGTTCTGCGGAGAAAGCGAAAAAGGCAGACCCGCGAGGCCTGACTAAAATCTTGGCGGCGTTATCGCCTTTTCTTAGC